GTTATGAGATAAAAAGTCATAGTTGTATGATAAAAAAATCTTAACACAAGTCATAATTATGAGCTTGTCAATTATTAGATAAAAGTAAAAATTATGCAAATAATTATGACATAAAAGTCTAAATTATGATAGTCTATTTTGAGACAAAGTCAAAATTATGATTTTTTAAAATAATTTATAACCTCATTTTGACTTTTTCACATTTTTCACTATTATCATGTAGTTGTAAGATAAAAAGTCATAATTATGAGTTAGTCATGTGAGATAGTCATAATTATCAGTCAATTGAGATAAAAAGTTAAAATCATGCAAATAATTATAAGATAAAGTCAAAATGATGAGATACAAAGTCAAAGTTATGAGATAAGTCATAATTATATGCTAAACAGTCTTTATGCAAATAATTATGAGATAAAAGTCAAAATTATGATAGTCAATTATGAGACAAAGTCGAAATTATGATTTTTTTTATTACCACCTCATTTCGACTTGTTTCCGTTTTTGACTATTTATCATGTAATTGAGATAAAAAGTCAAAATTATGCAAATAATTATGAGATAAGTCTAAATTATGATAGTCAATTATGAGACAAAGTTAAAATTATGATTTTTTTAATCATTTATTTTCTCATTTTGACTTTTTCACGTTTTTGACTATTTATCATGTAGTTGTAATATAAAAAGTAAATTATGATTTAGTCAATTATGAGATAAAAAGTCAAAATTATGAGATAAGTCAAAGTTATGAGGTAAAAAGTCTCAGCGCAAGTCATAATTATGAGTTAGTCAATTATTAGATAAAAAGTCGAAATTATGCAAATAATTACGAGATAAAAGTATAAATTATGATAAAGTCAATTATGAGAAAGTCGAAATTATGACATACCAAGTCATAATTATTATGACAATTTAAAAAAAATAATTGATTACCTCATTTCGACTTGTCCATGTTTTGACTATTTATCACATAATTGTAAGGAAAAAGTCACATGAGATAAAGTCATAATTATGAGTTAGTCGATTATGATTAGTCAAATAATTATGATTAGTCAATTATGAGATAAAGTCAGATTTATCAGTTAGTCAACTGAGATAAAAGGTCAAAATTATAAGATTAAACTACTTTTTGTCATAATTGACTATAACGATTTTCCAGCGCATGTTTTTCTTATGTGGTGGGAATGGTCTTTGACGGAGGAGTGCCAATAAACGGCACTGATTGATCAGAGAACCGTTCAGCAGAATGAGTCCGCGGTCTGGAGTCTGAGGTCTTCATAACTCCTGACGGTCCGCCGATCACTCCAGTGTGTCAGCTCGCTGACAAAGCAACTTCCCAGACGAGTCTTCTTCCGGATGTGGCAGAGACTGCGCTTCCCCCCGGCGCTAAAGCCATAAACAAACTTTTATGAAACAATTGTGCTTTATTGAATAGATGTTTGCTCCGTAATAGCAGCACTATGTCTGAATTTGGCTTGAATTATCCTAAAATAAAGCTCAAATATTGAAGGCTAAGCATTTCTTTTTTGCACAGCTCTCTGTTATTCTTCCAGAAGTGGAGTGGAGTGTACATTGTGTTTTTTCAACAGGCAATTACTGTACCAATAACATTCATGTAATGGCCTTATCGTGCGCTAGCACACAATCTTTGAGTTTCTCATAACCCCAAATAAATCCCAATCTTCTCTGAAACTGGGAAACCAAAATCATTTCCGCGTGTGTTAAAGTGTGTGAGACACACTCCAGGCGCTTCACCGATCCTCCTCAGTCCTGATCGACTTAATGCACAGCATTCCTTTATTTTACATAAAAAACACAGTTCAAATTATCTATCTATCGTTCTATCTATCTATCGTTCTATCTATCTATCGTTCTATCTATAGATCTATCTATCTATCGTTCTATCTATCTATCTGTCTATCGCTCTATCTATCTATCGTTCTATCTATCGTTCTATCTATAGATCTATCTATCTATCGTTCTATCTATCTTTCGTTCTATCTATCTATCTATCTATCTATCTATCTATCTATCGTTCTATCTATCTATCTATATCTATCTATCGTTCTATCTATCTATCTATCTATCTATCTATCTATCTATCTATCTATCTATCTATCTATCGCTCTATCGTTCTATCTATCTATGTATCGTTTTATCTATCGCTCTATCTATCTATCTATCTATCGCTCTATCGTTCTATCTATCTATGTATCGTTTTATCTATCGCTCTATCTATCTATCGCTCTATCTATCTATCGTTCTATCTATCTATCGTTCTATCTATCTATCGCTCTATCTATCTATCTATCTATCTATGTCTATTGTTCTATCTATCTATCGCTTTATCTATCTATCTGTCTATCTATCGCTCTGTCTATCTATCGTTTTATCTATCGCTCTATCGTTCTATCTATCTATCATTCTATCTATCTATCTGTCTATCTATCGTTCTATCTATCTATCGCTCTATCTATCTATCTATCGTTCTATCTATCTATCGCTCTATCTATCTATCGTTCTATCTATCTATCTATCTATGTCTATCGTTCTATCTATCTGTCTATCGCTCTATCTATCTATCTATCTATCTATCTATCTATCTATCTATCTATCTATCTATCTATCTATCTATCTATCTATCTATCTATCCTGTCTCAGCGCTGACTTTATGATTTTATTACAGATTTTCTGTATGATCCTGTAATTGGAGCGAGAGAGAGAAAGAGTGCAGCTGCTAAACCTGAATCTGTCCATCAATGTCACCGGACGGCCGTGGCAGATGCGAAGGGGCATCAGGTCTTCGTCGACACACACCCTCACGAGAACAAGAGCACCGCTCTGCAGAAGTGTGTGTGTGTGTGCGCACGCACACGTTTCCTTTGGTAAGAGAGATAGATGGTGCAATAACTTGTGATTGTATGAACGCATGACTGTGGAAATAGACTTTGACACTTTCCTGTATTGTCTGAATCTGTGAGTTTAACCTTATTTTTTTCTTTTGTCAGCTTTTCAGCGGTTTATGATGGCTTCATCCATCCATTTACTCTGTCTCTGTAAAAGTGCTGGTGTGACTTGACCTTAAAGAGCCATTTCTACCTGAACTGACCCATGAAAATATCAAAGTCGGGTTGATTCAGTCAAATTAAATCATGAGTTGACTTGAATAAACACAAGTAAAATCATTGAGGATACTACAGTCGAGAGCATCTTAAACAGATGTAACCTCTCATCATCATTTACTGCATGTCATCCCAAACCTGTATGATTTTCACACACAAGAAGATATTTTTTTAAATGTTTAAAAGTCATACAGGTTTGGAAGTGATGGTGAGAGAAAAATTATATTTTTGGGAGTGATTTAAAATGTCCCCTAAACACTAAACTCCCTTTAAATATAAAAATGTAGATTATTTACGTATTTAGATTATTTAGGAACATCAATTGAAAAGAAGCTTCATGTTTATAACACTAAAATGAGCATTTTAAGGTTAAAGCACAGCAGTATTCAGTGTGTTTCTCCACTCTCCAGCTTTGCCCTTCATCATGTCCTCCAGAAGTGTGTGTGAACTGATTCGCATCGGTCTCATTGAAAACTGCGTACGCGAGAATTAAATGTCAATGAAGTTCTTTTGATTTCAACTCCGACGAGACGTTTGTTCGGTGTGTCTCAACACACTGTAGACTATTATTATGCAAATGAGGCGCACTTGAATATTTTCGCCTGTGTTTTTCCCGCTGATGTCAGCAGTTCCCGGGAACGTCCTTCTCCGCGGTAACGCGCAGGTCGCCGTGGGCTGATGCACGCTTGGGAATGTCAACGGCTGTGCAACAGTGTCCTACATACACACTGCATGCTGGTGAAGCTGTTACACACACATGCATGCACATGAAGCCATTCTACAAACAAGAGACATTATTGTCCCTCATTGCAACCATGTGTAAAAAAATAAATAAATAAATAAATCGTTAAGTGGAAGATTGTTTGTGGCCTGTCGATCATGTATTTATTTTATCCTTAATATATATATATATATATATATATATATATATATATATATGCATTTTGTCTTTAATACCTATATCTTTTTAGATGTTTGTTGAGAGGGTTTTATTAAAAATGCCTTATCCTTTTTTTTTACTTTTAAGAGGACAAGTCTCTTTTTATTGAATTTGTTCTGTTAAATATATCAGCATTGTGTCGTCAAATTATGAATACATCCAAATATTTATTTAGTTATAGCCTATTCATGTATTTATAAATGGCAGAGTGCCATCATTAGCTCATTATTTGACTGAATTTTTACAATATTGCAAACATTTGTTTTAAAGATCATCTATTAAACGCGCGCATAGAATGCATAGCAATCGCAACGCGCGTGCACGTGCACCCCCTAAAAGAGAAAACGCACATGTGCGAATCAGCATGTATCACGATCACGCTTTCTTTCCAGGTCTGAATGTTTGTGAAATGGCAATCCTGCAGCGGGACGTCCTTATTCGTCCCATTGAAGGAGTGAACAATGAGAACACGATGTCAGACAACAGTGTGTACTACAGCTCCAGGATCCGCGTTAATTGCGGACATATGGCTCCTACTGGAATCATTGAGGAAACGGACCTTCTGGTACCCAATTCGTGTGATTTGCATGAAAAGAAAGCCATTGGTTTATAGACCGTGATGTAAAAGAATGACCTGAAAGCCTGAGGCCACATCCAGGAGTTGATTTAGTGGTTTGCGTCAAAAGAAGCGAGCGAAAACGCCGCGCGGGAGGGCAGATTCTTAACGCGCAAACGTAGGTATTGACATTTGCAAGTGTGTTTTATACAACCTTAATAACTTTAAAATATGTTTATTTTATTTGCAAGAAGACTGGTTATATTTCAATTTATAAAAACATGTTTGTTCAATGAAAACTGAACGGATTCGTGATATAAATAAACCCTTCTGATTTATTTCAGGCGTCGGGGTAAAAAAAAAGAAAAAAAAATCTGGCGAAGGCGCGGACGTCTCACAGCGTCATTAATTCATCCAGTTCAACGTTGGTCCCGGGAGATTTTTTTATGGATTAAATTAAGTACTTCCATCTTCATTTCCCACCTGATCGCAGCCATATAAATCCCAACAGCTGATCAACAGACTTCAGAAAGCCCGACGCCTTCAGACGGAACAGCTGGGAGTTAAAGCAGGAGAGAGGAGAGCGAGGCTGACGCAGACTCAGCGCTTTCACTGTCCTTTCTGTGTCTTTAGGGGAAGAAAAGCAGCACGGAAACTAGAGGACTAGTTAGTTTAGACTCGAACCTGGAAGATACGATCGTCGGTCCCAGAGGAGCCAAAGAGAGAGAGAGAGAGAGAGAGAGAGAGAGAGAGAGAGAGTGAAGCTGTCCAGTTCTGAATGCGTGCGGCGAGCGGGAGCTGTCCAGTGCTGAAGTTGCATTTCTCCAGAACGCATCGAGGCGTCGCGCTTCATCAACACAAGCGCATTCAGGGGCTCGAGGGTCTGCCGTAACCCTGTGCTGGCATCCGAATCTCGGCATTACCGAATAGGAACGTATTAGCGGGAAGAAAAAAAAAACGCGTTTTGTTGAGGAAAAGCGAGCGAGTCGACCGGCGGACGAGTGTTTTTCCCCCTTCAACCCGAAACATGCCAAGGTCTTTCCTGGTCAAAAAGGTTAAGCTTGATGATTTCTCATCCGCTGATTTGGAGAGCTCCTATGGCAGATCCAGGGCAGACCTCAGCCTGCGCTTTCACGAGAAAGGTAATTTATTTCATTTGCATAAACATCTAGTTCGGGCACGTTCATGCACACTGACGTTAGCTGGTTTAGAATCATAACCTCGGAGTCGGCATTGACCCATTGTGGCCATTCAACACCGTCACGCGCGGCAGTTTTTGTCGACTCGGCACATTTCAGGTGTTGCGCTCCTCCGAGCACGCATTCGACCCGCATTTTACATTAGAAAACGCAGAGCTAGCAACAAGTACACCGAGAGTTCTCGAAACGTGTCACGCGCGCGGTCTATTAAGCGAACACTTGATCATGTTTCATGTTATTATTCACGCTCTACATAACCCGCGCTTTGCATACACTTGCATAATCAGCCGTTCGTAGGGCTGTTTTAACCCAATTGTGTGTCAAACATGGACAAACTCAAACATTGGGTTAAAAATGTCATTTAAAAATGTACCCCAATGGCAGGGTTTGTCCATATTTGACCCAAAATTGGCTTAAAATAACACAGTCTCATCCCAAGAAGTCATATAACTGACGTCTTAGGACGTCTTTTGACCATTCGTCAATATCCGCCTTTTTAGGGCCCCCTTAAACGTCGGTAGATGACGATCCCGGGCCGCTTTACCTTTAAATGCTGGGTTGTTTTAACCCAATTGTGTGTCAAACATGAACAAACTCAAACATTGGGTTAAAAATGTAATTAAAAAATGTAACCCAGTGGCTGGGCTTGTCCATATTTGACCCAAAATTGGCTTAAAATAACACAGTCTCATCCCAAGAAGTCATATAACTGACGTCTTAGGACGTCTTTTGACCATTCGTCAATATCCGCCTTTTTAGGGCCCCCTTAAACGTCTGTAAATGACGATCCCGGGCCGCTTTACCTTTAAATGCTGGGTTGTTTTAACCCAATTTTGGGTCAAATATGAACAAACTCAAATATTGGGTTAAAAATGTAATTAAAAAAATGTAACCCAGTGGCTGGGTTTGTCCACATTTGACCCAAAATTGGGTTAAAACAACCCAGCATTTTTAGAGTGTATAGGTTTAAGGGTAGGATCCGATAACGTCATCTACCGACGTTTAAGGGGGCCCTAAAAAGGCGGATATTGACGTATGGTCAGTTATGAGACGTCTTGGGATGGTGACCCAAACAACCCAGCTTTTTTTAGAGACACAGTAATGTCGTGCATTCCTCACACATCGACCTAATTCTGCTCAATTGCCATGCAATTATAACCGAAGCGATACCATTGTGCTTTAATTGAAATGGAGACCAATTGATTTTGTGTGTGTGTGTGTGTGCATGCGCCTGTTAGATAATGTATGAGTTCATAACACGTTGCATTCGCATTGCATTTGTTTTCAGGGTACATCAGCGACTACATGACCCCGGCCCCGTACGATGGCGAGAGCGACGGAGGCATTAAAGTTCCCTCTCCGGGACCCATCTACGACGGCATCCACAGCGACTACGGAGCGCCGGATTCGGACCAGCCCGACAGCCCTCAGTCGGAGATCTCCTCGGGATACATCAACGGAGACACGGCGGTCAGCGAGGGTTACACGGTGGACGCCTTCTTCATCACGGACGGGCGGTCGAGGAGAAAAGCCATCAGCGGCCCGAGGAGCATCCAGAGGCACACGTGCAACGAGTGCGGAAAGACCTACGCCACGTCTTCCAACCTGAGCAGACACAAGCAGACGCACCGCAGCATGGACAGCAAAATGGCCAAGAAGTGCCCCACCTGCGGGAAGGTGTACGTCTCCATGCCGGCCATGGCCATGCACCTGCTGACCCACGACCTCAAGCACAAGTGCGACATATGCAGCAAGGCCTTCAGCAGGCCGTGGCTCTTGCAGGGACACATGCGCTCGCACACGGGCGAGAAGCCCTTCGGGTGCGCGCACTGCGGGAAGGCCTTCGCCGACCGCTCCAACCTGCGCGCGCACATGCAGACTCACTCGGCCTTTAAGCACTACAAGTGCAAGCGATGCAACAAGACGTTTGCGCTCAAGTCCTACCTGAACAAGCACTACGAGTCGGCCTGCTTCAAGGGGGCCTTCGCTCCCCTGAGCCCCATGGACGTCGCGTGAGCGCTCGCTCGGCCCCTGGATTAATCGATCGCATGTACCTTAACTTTTCTTTTACTTCTCTCCAGTGTACTCCCGCTGCTCACGTACTCAGAGCCCCCCAAACTCCAGCCGTCGTTTTGCCAAAACTCAGAGGACATTGAAAATGTCTTTGTTTCTCTCAAAAGGTCAAACCTTTTCTATTCCTAAGTATTGGATAATATTGTACTGCTGCCAGTGGCCACACAAACAGTGTTCAGCGTTGAGGTAAAACTATTTATTCATTAACTTATGTATTTATTTCGTCTTGATTTGCACTTTAATTTCTCGTTCAGTCGCCATCGATATGCCAAAGCATTTGCCACTTTCTGAATATCTTACATTTTTTGGGTTTTTGCCACTTGCATGCATGCAAAAAAAAAAAAAAAAGTACTAATGAAATCTATGCCAATTTTATGAAGCTTTGGATTATTTTTTTTTTTGCCAAAACCTAGATAGCATCCGTCGGCAATATCTCTCGGGAGTCACGATGAAGAATAGAGCAATAATGCATGGTATTTTTAAAAAGCTAAAACGAGTAATAATAACTATAGCGTTTCTAATCACCATTTTCTCCAATACTACCAGTAGTCATTCAGAAGTTAAATATCAGGGAAATGCCAGAGTAGTATTAGCGGATACTTCCACGGGACGGGACGGGGAGGGATTCGAGGGTCCTTTTGTAAGTGGTTATGCACTGCCTGCCTCTTATTTAATAACGTAGTCGTAGACGTAGGCGGAACGGATCTTCAGATCGATCTTTCAAAAGCACTTCTTTTTGGAGAGAACAATAATACGAATAGTAGCACAAACCTTAGCGATTCAGGTAGACGGGCCTTGTGTTAGTCCAACCTCTGTTTTTGTATTTACGGACAAGGAGAACTAACTGTTTAATGCAAGACGCCTTGTAAATAATCCTTTGGAGTTTGGATATTTCTACAAGCTGTAAAGAATCAAATGGGTTTTTTTCCCCCAGCATTTGAACAATGTAAAGCACAAACGACACCGGGCATTTTCTCACTTCATAATAAAGAACCAATAAGTAACACCGTGTGTGTGTGTGTGTGTGTGTGGTCGTGTGTGATTGCTGATTCAGAGAGTGATGACGTCACGTGAAAACCCTTGCTTTCATCTCAATTAAATCCTTGACTGATGCCTTTGTTGCACATGATTGAGCTTCATCCGCAGTGTGTTCACGGGGAGCTCTTGAGAAAAAGAGCATGTGATCAAAGTGAGTGAGTGTGTGTTACTGCTTATAACCTTGAGACACGCGTGTCCGTCAGCTTTATCCAGGAGTTCTTCTCGACGCGGACTGAGAGTGTGTGTCCTGCTGACTGTGGCGGATCACAGCTTCATTACTGGGGCTTTAGCTTCACCTGCTGTAATGAGTCGTTTAGTGCAGTTCCAGCCCTCATCTGTCCGTTCACTGCAAGGTCGTTTGTGAGAAATCTGCCACGATGAGTCATGCAACTTTCTTGCACACCAAGTCAACGGGAACAGGAAATGCAACCCTTTTTCTCTTCTGTAATCTGATGTGTTTCGGAGGCAAAACGCGGAAAGGTTTTATCGATCTGGAATTGATTGCATCGTGACGAGTGTCTTGATATGAGGTGTAAGTGGTTGCAGGGGAAGGTCCATCTTTTATAACGTGCGCTGATGAATCATTCACGACCAGAACAAGCAAACACACTTTTGATTTCATGCTGACTTTAAGAACTTCAGCAAACACCGTTTTGTGTTACCTCAAAGTTTTGATGCGTTGGGAAGTGAACTGCCTTGAATGAATCCGCTGTTCCTCCATGTGTGTGTATGTGGTGTGTGTGTGCTGGAGAACAGGGTCGGGGAGCCGGACCGCTGGCTTTCAATTGTTGCATTTTGTATTGTTCACAGTCGCATCAGGATCACTCATTAAAAAACAATGATTTTGACCTGTTTACAGGAACTGATGGGAGTGAGTGAGTGTGTGAGTGAGTGTGTGTGTGAGTGAGTGTTTGAGTGAGTGAGTGAATGAGTGTGTGAGTGAGTGAGTGTGTGAGTGAGTGAGTGTGTGAGTGAGTGAGTGAGTGTCTGAGTGAGTGAGTGTGTGTGTGAGTGAGTGTTTGAGTGCGTGATTGAGTGTTTGAGTGTGTGAGTGAGTGTGTGTGTGTGAGTGTGT